AACAAAGATATTTTTCAGAGCTTAAAAATTCAGAAAAACATATTGCTCTATTAGTCATTATTACTTGTCTTCTGGGCATCTCACATTTAAATTTATGTTTGGAAGTGGAGAAAGTGTTGTCTGCCAGACAAAAGAGATGAAATCTAATGTTGGTAACAGCAAAAATAATTATAATGAATATTCTGTATGTTGAGTCACTGGTGAGTACAATCCCACGAATGAGCTCTTCCTGTAAGTCTGCTAACTGCTAACAGCCTACTACTGTTTATCTGCATGCAAGTCCCACAGTCTGGTTTAGTGATTTATTTCTGTCAGTAAAATTTCAAAGAGCTTCCAATCAAAAGCAGATTACCCACAAGTTCACAATGTTACAGCAGATTTGCAGTGTATGCATATAATGTATTAATATTATCAAAGTTGTGATACTGATGCTTATTTGTATGTCATTGTTTGGACTATAACCCCAGAAAAAGTGGATGTAGAAAGCTTGGAGTTCACTAGTATTTATGGTTGAAATATTTCAGGTATTTTTTATAATGCTGTGTGTATGAACAATAATAAAAGGATTTGATTTATGAAAGAAGCTTAATATACTGTAAGCATAACACAGTAGGCTCAATGTAAAAAGCATCAAATCATGTTATCTACCTGATGATGCCAATAAATCGTAATTCCCAAAATATCATCCTCTTATCTGAGTTTATTTGCACCCATGATGCTGGAACTACCTTTCAGAATTTGATGTATTGTTCTTGAGTTTTGATAAGAAAGTGATTAGATTATATTATCAGAAGAGGTTTTTTACCTCTGAAAAGCAATCTCATGTAGTATTGCTTGAGTGTCAACATGGCTAATTGAATAGCTAAGTGGACAACTATCTACATGGTAATGAAGGTTTACTATATCATTAATTCTTTATCCCATTTATAGGTTTTAAGATTTTTAATGTGGCAAATCTGCTACTCAATGTACTGCATTTCTTCCACTCTTTTGAACCTTTAGCATTAACTAAGTGCCTTGGAACAAAAAAATTAGGGGATTTACAGTGATGGAGTGCTGTTGAGCATGTCTGATCTTGACCTCTACTTGTAGAAGCAAATTTGCAAATCTGTCACATTCTGTGTCTTGATAGGTAAGATTTGGAGTCAATCTGTATATCCAGAATTCTATGCTGCAATTACCTATGTCTTTTGCTACAACACTTTGTAATTCTGATTAGACTATTCACTCTAATGAGGAACATCATCTCTGTTATAAAGTGGTGCTTTTTTGCAAGAAAAATTCACTCTAAAATTGTGGGCATATGTAAGATACAAAATTTGTCAAGCGTCTATGTTAAGTGTTACACTGCAAAATCTTCAGCTCTTGATAGATAAGCAGGTAGAGTTCTGCATATGCAGTGTCAGCTCTAAGAAGAGTTTACACCAGTGTATAATAACCCCACCACTAACTACTTGAATAAACATGGACTTCAGGGATTCATACCACTCTTGATTGAAACAGTATTGAGGAGTGGAAGCTGCTTGAAATCTCTTAGAACTGTTGTAATTGTAAAATTACTCTCATCTGTTAGTAAGTTTGAATAAAAAGTATTGGGGGCTGCTAGGGTTTGAGTTCAAAGAATAACTGTGGTTTGCCAAGGCAAGAAGTAGGTAATTAAAGCAATGTTTAGAGACACACTGAAAGCTGCAAAGTGAGACAGCATTAAGGCTAGCATTTTCTAGACTGGAGAGGAAAGAAAGTGAAAATAACCCAAGAATGTATTAATGCATGTCTCATTGAATTTCCTAGCAGTTCCTGAGTGGTATAGTAACTACAGTTATTATCAGAAAACTGATTGTAAGAGTCGTATTCTGACATTTTCAGTGTACTATGTGGCTGACAGTTGCCACACCAAAGTTGCTCAATTCACAAGTCCAAACAAGACTTTATTATAAGGCTAACAGTGCAACCACAGTCTATTGTCTGAAAGTTGGCCACTGCTATTACTTCACACAACACCACCAAGAGGGATGACTTTGGACCTAGGGCTTCTATTATAGTTCTCTTGGTGAACTAGGAAGGAAAACAGAATTTGCTTTGTAGTTCTGCAGTATATTGAGTCATTGGTGTTAATGGTAATGACTAGTTTTGTCTGAGAGTTTAAGACATGTGACTTCAAAGACACATTCTGTTGAAATAGACACATTAAATAACCATGGTGCCATTTCTGTAGGATATTTATCACCTTAAATGTATATTAAGTTTTATGTATTAGGCTTACTATTTACTAAATATTCTGTGTTGCAGATAGATATTAAGAAGTTTTCACAGCACACGAGGGCTTAAATATTCTTTAATAAATTAGGTTTTGTTTATAGCTATGGTCTCCTGAACTGCTGCAGAAGACACATGCCCATTATGAAAAATGTCTTGGTTACACTAGGAGGTCTGCTAGGAAATATTGTTTTGGTTATTTAGAGATGGATGCTACTGACGTCAGATTTTTTTTTTTTCCCCCTTTGGCTTTCAGTACTTTGTTGTAGAGCAAAATTTCCCATCTTTGAAGTAGCTGATTCTGCATTATGGTTGATTTGAAAGTTCAAAGAGACACTCAGTTATACAGCTAATATCCAAACAAATCTTCATTTCTTTTAAATTCTTCAGGACAGGAAAATTTCCATTCAAATTGCTTTCTTATGTAGTTGACGTTGTTTAAAGGTCGCATAGAAATATTCTCATCATGTGCATTATTTTCACGACTGATGAAGGGGTGTAGTTGGAGGTCGGGGCCAAGCCAGCCCAGTGCCTTGCTGTTGCCATCAGGAGTGACACCATCTGCCTGCCTGTCCCTCCTTCCCACCACACCTTTCCTGTCCCAGACCATGCCTTACTCAGGCTGGGACGCGCCCTCCCCTGTGCTGACTCTTGTGCTCATCTGACTGCATGGGAAACTGGAGTGACTAAAATACATTTGCCTTTTTTGCTGGAGAGTTTGTCTGCATGGAGCTAGGTCCTGATGCACTCAGAGAAGCACTGAAGCCCAGCAGAGGCAGCAGCAGCAGGGCCCTGCACCTGGGAGGAAGAGGAGGTGAGGAAGAAGCAGTTAGCTGCAGCCGGCTTTCAGCTGACTTAGCTGTGTCATGTCTTTACACCTTACAAAGTGACCTGGTTTATTTGGGTTTTTTCGTGGTGTAAAACTGCATAAATGTTTAAGAAAATGACAGAGTTAAAGCCTGAGTTTCTGCATTTACTGTGCTGTCCCAGAGTTGTAGTAACCCCACTGAGTTTAGGATTGTTATTCCACATTCACAGCTGTGCAAACTGATTTATGAAAGCTTTATGGTAAACCCCATTTTTTGGAGTAACTTTAGTTAGTGTTAGCTTCAGAGTTTAGGTTTTGGGCTTTTTAAAAAATTGATTCAGGAGAGAGATTATTTATCATTCACTATAAATGGTAGCATGTCCTTGAAAACAAGTGTTTGAAAAGACAGACTTTTTTAAAAGACTTTTTACTAAAGCTCTGGAGTTTATTGTTCTTAAAAAGCACATCTCTCAAAATCTTGCAAGTGCTTATAAGTTTCAAAGTACTACCTGTGGATCAAGATAGTCTGTGTGAGCTCATAATATATACTTCTAGGATTAGTAGTAAAAAGTGTATTTATATTCCTGTTAGCGAGTAACAGTTTCTGAGAATAATGGCTCTACTACAGTCATAGGAAGATGACAGTAATAAGGCCCTCCTCCTAGGCTAAAAAAGATCCTTCAAGGATCAAGTAGATTTTGTTCAAGCAATGAATTTACCCCTCATGTTTTGAGGATTGAAAACTCTTGGTATGAGGTATTGTAAAATGTGTAAATATTCAAATGAAATTAACTGCATGGACTTGATCTACTGAGGGCTTATGTTTTTGATGTTGAGGTGTGTTTTTTTTTTCACATTCTCCAATGGAAATAGGTATTTAAAATACATTGTTAAACATTTTGTTTTATTTTTCTATTCCTAATTGCCTTAAATAAATCCACCAAACTAAAAATGTATTTTAAAATCAAGTCTGTTGAAGGCATTTGACATGGGACACCTCTCTATACATCATTTTTCTGTTTTCATAGCTGCATATTTCTATATAAACCTGTTAGTTAAAATATTCTACATGTGTAGCTAGATATTTACTTCACTGATGTGGGAGGGCTAGGGGAGCCATATGGGGATGGTGACTCAAGAGAACCTTTTGGAAAATCTGGCTCCTTATTGCTATTGCTATTACTCCCTATTACTGATTACTGTTAGAAATAGACACACAAAGGGAGTTAAACTGATTCTGTCATTACATGGTTTAGAGGCAGGTTTTATCCTTTTATTGATCTACATTTAGGCTACATGTTCTTCTCTTATCTAAAGCTCTTTGTGATAACTGTAGATTGCTTCTAAACCACCAACAGAAGCCAGCACCATGTCCTTCACTAAGCAAGCACCCTTCCAAGAAACATAAATGTTAAATAAATTAAAATACTTTAGCAAAATATTTGAAGGAAAATATTAGAGAATAAACAAATGCTGTGACATCATTTTCACAAAATTCTACATCATCCAAAAGAAATACCTTTGCTAATACATTTGTTGGAGGTTTTTGCTTACATTTTTTAGTTAACGCAGTCACCCACATCTCCAGACATATACTCAATGTCTAATTCTCTATGGATGCTTTCATTGCTGCTTTTTTTCGGCGTATAAAATCCAGTTTTATGTTAAGTAGGTGGGTTGCTGATTTGCCAGCATGCCATTCTGGATCAGGCATTTGTTAATTGTTTTTATGCACCAAAATTGACAATGAAAGCTTTGTAACAATTCCCCAATTAGCAGTAATCATTCTTGTTAAACTTTTATAAAGAGCTGTAGTATGCAATGAATGTAAAGTATTCATTCCTGAGCTGTTTCTTTTTTTTTTTTTTCTTTCCCCTCCATTTCTACATTTTGTCAAACAGTCTTATGCTATTTGTTATTTCTGTTCATATTGCAGATTGAGAATGTTGATGTCTGCCTTAGCTTTCTGGCAGCCAGAGGCGTAAATGTCCAAGGTCTTTCTGCAGAAGGTAAGAGAAACAGATCATCAGAACAAATAATAGGATTTTTTTTCTGAAAACTAATTTTCTTAACACAAATTATTTGCACCGAAATATCAAACTCCAGCTGTCTTGAACAGCATGAAAATATAGATTAGTGATAGCAAATGAGAGAGGTTTAGACTTCCTCTTAATTTTCCCTTGAAATTGAACCAAGAAACTGTACGAAGCCTGAGACAGTGTTTTAAAATAACAATTTTTTCAGTAGTATTAATCTGTTCATATTACCTCCACAATATTTTATAGGTACAGGGTTTGCCAAGCATACTTTTAAACTTGCTTATATATGGGATTAAAAACAATAAAAATTAGTATGAGAATCTTGCTCAGTTAATTAAACCCAGGAAAGACTATTTGTTTAAGCAAATTTAGTAGTAGTAGTAGTAGTAATAGTAGTAGTAGTAATGCTTTCAGGATGAGTCTGAAAATTCTTGTATTCCTTTGATGTCATGTATTAAGTGGAGGAGTGAATGGTCTTGCTGTATGTATTATAGCCATTTTTGCTCTATTAGTCACCTCAGGTGACTGCCTAATACAGTTACAATGAAGTTAATAAATATATTAAATCAAAACCATTAAAGTACCAGTTGTCTTAATTAGTATGTAATATTTGCCTTATGAATGTAAAATTAAGTCAGGTGGATACAGGAAAAATACATTTTTTCCAGAAATGGTAATTTCAGTTGAATTTTAGAAGATAACCAGAGGGGAAAAAAAAAAAAAAAAAAAAAAAAAGAATGCTATTGTTCTATTTTAGAATTATCTCAGAATTTTTGTCTTTCACCATTTCCACATTTCTAATACCTTAGCAGAAGTGTAACACAGACACGATATGTACTATCCTCTCACTTTTTGATTGTCTACTAATGGAAAGCTTCTTAACTGATTTAAAAGAACATCTGTATGTACTGTAGATATGTCAAATCATGAAAACATTTATATTTTATCATTATCTCAAAGCTGATTAGAACTTGAAATTTTTAGGGCAGCCTATTTTTACTTGTGTATGCAATACAATCAAATGGGTGAATAGCATGAATTTATTTCATGAGAATACTCTTCATTGTTTAATACCGTGACACAGATCATGATATTAATTTTCTGTACTTTTTAAAATGAAAATCTGAGTGCATTCATACTTTTGTTTTGCGCTGGAAAACAATTTTTTATGATTATATGCTTTAACTGCATAACATTATGTTAAAATACTACTAAAAGCAATACTATGTAGTGTTAAATGCAAGGACTGTTTTTTTAAATTTTCATTAATCTTTAAAGAATAATTTTAATAAGGTGGACCTTGAGTTCTAAACTAAGATTAAAACTAGTTTTGCTGTTTTACAGTTGATCATGAATCTGCTGTAAATCTGCTAACATGTTTGTAATGATATTAGTTCAAAGTATCACAGAAGTGTGATTTACTTAAATACACCATTTTTAGTTTGTACAATCCTAAATATTAAAATTTCTCTTGAGGAGAAGAAATTGGGAAAAAAAGTCTTTTTTTAATCATGAAATTGTCAAGTTACTTTCATAATGTTTTGTCAGCATGTTTATATTTAAAATAAATCAAATTTAGAAACCATAAGTCTGTTTCTTGTAATAGGCTTTGGTAGATGTGTCTTGTTACTACTGGATCATTTATTAATAACTAGTCAGTTTCTGGAACAGTAAACCACGAGCTTAACAAGGATTGAAGCTTTTCCCACCTCATTTTGACACTTGAGCAAAGATACCAGGAACAGAAGTTATTTTCAGATCTTCACTGCAGAATCACTACTGGAGAACCCAAATGATAAATAATAAGCCAGTTGCTACAAACAAGAACACCCCCCTCCTCTTCCCTGCAAGTGTGTAGTACATATTAGAAGTTTCTGAATTTTTTCTGTTTAAGATAAATCTTCCAACTTTGAATCATTTAAAATTAGGAAATAGAAAGAAGTTCAAATCTGATAGCATTCTTCTTTAGAAATAGTAAAAAATAAGATTTGATACAGAGCAAAATTTTAAGATAAAAAATGATGAGTGGCATTTAACAAATAGTTATTTTCTGGAGCATTAAGTGATAAAAAGTCATAAGAATACTTAAACCATTATCATGAACAGAAAATCTTTTAGAATCAGAGCAGCTTAAAGATGGATAGTTGTGTGGTTTTGCTGGTTTGTTGGTTGTTTTTTTTTTTTTAAGATCATATTAAATATAATTTTTCTGTTCCTTGATAATGATCTTCCTTGAAACCATTGTGACTGAAAAAGTCATTGTTGCTTAAAAAGCTTTCTAATTCTGAAAAAGTTCTTCTGTGTATCTCTGGTGTTCTCATGGGAAATCAAAGATCGTGGAACATCTTCATGAGAAAGATGAGAAAGTATGGATACTTGGACAAGTTTTTATTTTGCAAAGTATATTCCAGTGTCCAGGATTGTGCTTGCTTTTGAAGAATGGGTTGAGAGCATAAGGGCTTCAATGTTTGCTGGCCTGTTAGTGTATGTACTAACATTTTACTTAATCTTATTGAAAGAACATTAGTGCAGTTTAAAGGACATGAATATGACAGTAATTGTTTAAAAATTCTGCTTTAAAAATTACCTCAAAAAGGCTGTGTAACACATACAGCTCAGTATTCAGATTTGCAGGAAAGGCAGAAATATTGCAGTGTTGCATGTTAGGTTACAAGGCTATAGGCCTAATGAAAACCTTTCACAAGAAGTTCAATGCCAAAGAAAATTAATAATGAGGTTATGAACAGACCTAAGTGCTGCAGATAATTAAAGCCTCCAGAGGCTTCTTTTTTTTTGACACAGAGATCCTTTATGAGCAAAGAACATTATCCTTTCAAAATCTTCATCTCAGACTGGGGAAAGACTAAGGGGATGGCAGACATGAGGATGCTACTGTGGCTCACCAGAATTTCATACTGATAGCTATTTTCTCCTTATGTGAAAGCTGTAGTTTTGAAGTCTTCATTAATCAGTAATAGCAGTGTAAAATAGAAAGCTAGAAAATCATGTGGTTGGAAAGTTCAAAGTCATGAACCTTATGGTCACCTTTTTTAATAGGTGTTTTCCAGTAATCTCCTTCTCGCATGTTCTTTGCAAATTCTTGTGAATAGATATGTGCTCATCCACAAGACTGCTGCCATCTCCTCTTTCTGATTTTTCCAGAAGTCTCTGTTTACTCCCACAGTGTGCAGAAATTGCCCAAAAAGCAAGAAAAGTGATTTAAAGCCATGAGGGAGAAGGGATGTGTACCTAAGTCCAGAGAGAATTCAGATTTTTCCGAATGGACCTCTGCTTACTGAGAATATTTGTACTGTACTGAGGCAGGATTATTTAATTATTTAAGGTTTGGTGTGCTTTTCTTTATGACCACGCACATGTGACTCATCATGAGGACATTATGGAGATACGTGTTTATTGCAACAATGACACATAAATAAGCAAAGATTATAACAAACAATAAATTATCAGTGATACCTAACATGTTCCTCATATTAAAGATAAATTAAGAGATAGAAACATTTATAACTATAGGTACGTACAGAGATGTTTTGGTATAAAACTGTTACAAAACTGAAGTCTAAAACCACAGTGTTTTCACTTCTTTTTCTTTTTTTTTTTTTCCTTTTTTTAAATAGAAATAAGGAATGGAAATTTGAAAGCCATTTTAGGGCTCTTTTTCAGTTTGTCTCGGTACAAACAGCAGCAACATCATCAGCAACAGTACTACCAGTCTTTGGTGGAGCTACAACAGCAAGTCCCTTCACCTCCAGCTGAAATCAGCCAGTCCAAAACGCACCAAGATATGCAGTCGAGGTATGTAAAAAGTTAATTTTCTCAGGTGCAAAAGCTTTTTATTTGTCTGTTCAAAAACAACAAGTATTTGCAGAAAAAATAGGTTACTTGAAAAAGACTTAAAAGACTGGCTTTTTCTTTTTTAATCTATGTTTGCAATGAGTCTAGGAAAACATCTTAAGTGTTTGTTTAGTATTAAGCTTGCATTTCTTGGGAGTAAAGCTAGAGTGAGGGCAGGGAACATTCTCAATTAAATTTACATTAAATTTGATTTAATTTTAAGGCATACTTTCACATTATTATTGATTCTACTGTCTATTGCAACATGAGAGCACACCATGAAGTTAGTATACTTGTTATTTCCATGTTTTCCTCACATACCCAGTTTCATATTTAAGCAAACAATGTAAAATGATTAGCAGAAAACGTGGGGAAAGGGCACAATTAATAATTTCATTTGTTATAAACTCTTTACATCCCCACACATTCTGTTTTTGAATGCCTAATTCTATTTGAATGTTTTTTGAAAGGGAGAAAAACTGGCCTTAGTCTAGTTGTTTCTTTTAAGTGGTTAGTTTATGACTTAGTTTTAGGAAAGCAAAGCACTCAGCAGAATTCTTAATTGCTGAATTATATTACTTTAAGACTGAAGATGAAAACATGTTTTGAGAAGGTAATTGCTTGCTGACAATGAGAAAAGAAGCAGTTTTAACACAGATAGCTATTTAAATGGAAAAAGTATTAGCAACATATACTTTATTGAAGAAGTTAAAGCTATTCACATGTAGGACTATGTAAAGTGTAGTTTAATGAAGAACTTTAGATATTGCTGTGTCGGGTTTAATACTTGCTTGATTTATTGTTCTATTGTTTAAATTTTTTTGTATAGTTACTGAACAATTGTATATCTAGAACGTGATAAATCAGCAACTGAGGATGCATTAAAAGTATCAAACTACAATAATGAAATTTTGGTTCTGGAATCCATTCATATCTAAATTAGCCTTTCATGTTAATAGTAAATATATATTATTCAGCTGAGAAAATTTTTCACACTTTAGCCTAATAGAAATTTTTGTCTTGAAACAGGGAACATTGTAAATATGTGTTTATAGGAAAACATTGCTGATGGCATTTCATACAAAAATTAAGATACGCTTACATTTGTCTTGAGCATTACAATGTGAAATGCATTTTTTTTTCTCTGCTATTGATAATTAATGTCTTTCAATGCTTCCTCTGTGAAGTTTACTATTAACATTTAATCTAGGGAATTATGATGTGAGGAAGAATCTGACCACTCTCAGCATTTTCTGAAGTTGAATTTCTGCTTTCTGAAGGAAATTTAATTCTGCATAAGAAGCAATTATTCAGAGACTAATTGTTTTTCCTATCATAAGAAAGACATTTTGAATGTAGATCTACAAGTATTCACTGCTTTAATCCGTGGAATTAAGGTTTTAACCAGCTTCATGTAAATACCTTTTGTTATTGGTTTTTGTTTATAATTTAGTAAAAGAACTGAAACATTTCTTGCTTTTCTAATTTACCCATGGTGAATTTTTAATTAAAAATATTGCCATGTTCCTTTATACATGAACACTACTGCAAGGAATTCTGCTCATCCAAAAAAGCTTAGAGCAAAGCAGTTGTTTATTATTTGGAAGACAGTGATTGCACAGTAGTCCTTTGTCTGCTCAGAAATGGTAGGCAGAGGGGATGAAGTGTTTATAAAGCTTTCTTTTCATTAAAATTCCCCAAGATCTCATGGTCCTTCATCACCTTTTTCTCTTCTTTTACTTTGCTGTAATTAAATATACTACATTACGAGGAAGGGCAGTCATTCTTTGTCTAGAACCCCAGCATTCATGCCTTTGCAAAGTGACATCTAAGGCTGATTTAACAAAATTTCTACTTTCACCAGTGTGCTTTAGACCTTCTACTTTAATGCCAGGAGTTTAAAATAGTTTCATTATTTGATTAAATTTCTATTCATAACTGTGTTTCAGCTGAAAATGTTTCTATGTAAAAAATTATTACACTGAGATTGATACTATCTTTCTTATTTCCTATCTGTAAACTGAAAGCAATAATTTTTCTGTTTCCTTTCACATATACAGAAATTCAATGTTTGTCACCATAAATGTGTGTACTCCCTGAGAGAATATGATTTTCTCTATCCATATATTTTTCAGTAAAGACTTTAAGGATAAAGAAAGGTACCTACTTCTAAAAACTTTCCACTGAATGAAAGATTTCTATCTTCTGCTACAAATGTGTCTAGTATTCTGAACTGCTATCAAAGCAAGGAGCTCCAGGACTTAGAAACAAACAGAATATACTTTTTTTTTAATACTAATTGGCTTTTTCATTCATCACTGTTTAGAATTACTATTAGGAAATGGGCATAAAACAATATGTCCCTTTCTAAGAAAAATTACTACATTTGAAAAGCAGGTTTCCTACTAATAGATGGGCATATACAAGTATGCATTGGTATGAACTCTCTGTGGTGGACTTAGCAACCCTTCTTTTCATAGCAGTCATTGAATTTCTTTTTTTTTTTTTTTCCATCAAAACAAATATTTTGGAAAATAGTTCAAAATTATTTCCCAAACAGCTTTTAAGTTTTAAGCTGTTAATGAGTAAATAAGAGCTTCTGTTAAGAAAGAAGCCCAAATATGAAATTAAAAAATAAAAAATGCCTTTAATGGGATTCATCTTGCCTCTTGCCCACCTTTTACTGCCTGAAATGCGAACAGGTAGTTTACATGACTCCCAGGACTGATTTCTATATGATTGCTTTCATGGCAATTATGTCTCAGCATTATTTGCAGAAGGAACCAACATACCTAACTGATTTACAGGGCAGGAGTTCATGGTTTAGAAGGTCCTATGTAATTTATATGGCTGCTCCATGGGACACCTCAGACCTTCAAGTATTTTTGGTGAAAAGTAGTTTTATATGGATACATGGATCTTCCTCTCTCACTGAACGAAGAGTATTGTAAAGTGATAAAATCTAACATGTGTAATAATGTCACATGCTTCACCTTTTCCATGTGAAATTATTAACACAATAGATAATTTAACTACTATCAATAATAGAGTTATTTTACTTTTTTCTTAGGAAGTGGTGAGATAATGAGCTATTTTATCCTTTCATAGGGGATGTTAATCTTTAAGGCAATTTATTATTACACATTTATTGTGCAGCTAAGCCTTTATTAGCATATTGAAGTTCTGAATATGCTTTTATAAATTCTTAATACTTTCTGTTTTCTAATACTTTATACTGTGAAAAGGGTTGACATGTAAAAACGGTAAGGCAGCAAATTACTCATGGCGTATATCTTGGAAAAATTATTTGGCAAATGCACATAACAGATTATTTTCCATTGATTTGGTTTGTGGTCTTTTATTACTTAGAAATAGTTCTTTCAGTTTTTTGAGAGGAACAGGAAAAACTATCCTATTATTATGGTAGAAACCAGATAATTAATATAGTAGCAAACACCTGAATGGCACATTCATCTTGATTCAGTAATGGCAAAGCTCTTCAAATGTAATTTGAGTAAATTTTCAAAGGTATTCTGAAAATTATCTTGAAGACTAACATATTCCTACTGTGTTAGACACTTGAGAGATAAAGGTGTCTTTTTGAGGCACTGTATACATTTAAGTGCTTTTGATATGTATGTGTTTGTGCAGACATGTAAACAAACCCAAAACATATACACTGAAAAAGATGGATGCTTTTTATAGACTTTGTACTTTTAAAAAATGTTCAATAAGCATTCACACTTCATGTTGTAAATTAAGTTTTTGAAGTTATGTCTTAATAATTGCAGTTACTTTAGGTTAGATTATTCCATCAGAAAAGTCATTTTTGTTGTTTCCATCTAAGGTATAGTAAACATATTGCTTAATTTCAACCTGATTTCCTGGGAGGCAAAATGCTGTTGTGTGTGCTTTGTTAAACAAGTATGGAAAGGTGATGGTCTCCACTGTTTCAAAGAGAAATACAGATTATACATGGGAGAGGAAAATACCTCTGAGAAGTCACACAGAAGATGGTGAGGATACAGAAGTGATAGCATTCAGAAGCTGCTGAAGACCAAGAAAGTTTTGTTCTTATATGTACAGGACTAGTGTCTCATTCTCCTAATTTAAGAGAGTGGTCCTGATGATGGTCATGACAACGTTGGCACTCTCATCCTGACTTCCAGGTTAGGATGTCCTTGGTAATGATCAGTGTCCGTGATCATTACTGGGTTTGAGCCCGTTCCACATGCCACTGAAGCCAACCTACATTAGTATCGACCTCAAGGAGACAGTGTTTGGTGCCTATGTTAACAAAATCTGAAACAGGCACAATAAATGATATTAGGACTCTACAGCTTTCATAGCCGGGTTGTTCTGATATGGTAAACAAACAGAAGTCCTAGGGGAAGGTTTCTATAATCAAAATATCATGAGATTGGCAGGATTAGTTTTGTGCAGAAATGGGGAATTCAGGAGAAATTCAGGAGGCTAGTTGTCCTTGGATGACTAGGAAATCAGTGTTTTCTACAGGAGAAAACATGGATCAAAAATGTAATTAAACTGATTTCTGGAGGAGTGAGTCTCCACTTAGTGTAAAGTTTGCATAGGAGGATAATGAATTTTCTATGTCAGACTCCTAACAAAGTCATCTAAAATGGGTCAGTGTGGCAATACTTTAACATTCCTAATCCCATGCAATCTGTCCACAACCAAACTTGGAATTGTGAAAATTGTGCAAACAGAAGGGGAGCAATGTTCTGGATGTGAAAGAGTATCATCGGCTTGTCTAATCCTAGGGACAATAGCAACATTTAAAGTTCAATGTAAAAAGAATGAACAAAGTTGATTTATGGTAAGTGAAATTTCATTGAAAATAATTTACTTTACCTATGGGAGATGATAATTTCTTACCCCTAAGTATAAACATTCTTAAAATTATTTAGACGAATAGTGGAAAAATCTGTGGTAAATAATAA